TGAATCTGAAAAAACATTCTTAAGGCAACTTTTTATGAAAAATGTCATGACACAACTAGAAATTTTCTCCGACGTTTCGTTTTCGTGAAACTATCATCAGGTTTATTTTTTCTTATGAACGCCATATTTGATTTTCACATCAAAAAATAGGATAATTAATTCTGATTTCAATGATATGTCACACAATGTATTTCATTTAAAAAAATATTGAATTATTCAAACAAAAAATGCCTGATGATAGTTTCACGAAAACGAAACGTCGGAGAAAATTTCTAGTTGTGTCATGACATTTTTCATAAAAAGTTGCCTTAAATATGTTTTTTCAGATTCACGAAAACACTAAAAATAAAGAAGTTATAGGCAAAAAACGAAAATGTTATTTTTTTGATTTTCGGTCATATTTTAAAAACTAAAACGACTAGATCCAAAAACTTAGTTGAAAAAGGATGAGCTCTGAGATACGCAACTTTGCCCCCATTTAACCATTTCTGTATCTCTTGTGGTTTCTGAGATCCCAATAGTGGGGGTCGAATTTGAATTACCCTGTATAAGAATTTCGAATTTCCCGCTAAGTTGGTACATCTAACATGGCGACCTTTCTGGCTTTATTTTAGGCGTGGTGGTGACAACAGCATACGCATTCTAGATTATATATAAGACCTCAATGGCTGTTGTACAAACTGTTTTTGTCGGTGGGATTGCTATCGGCGAAATAAGAGTCGGGTGGTAGTAGTTTTTCCCTATATCTAGTGATTTGTGCCGTAGGTTGGTAACGCTAACGTCTCTCTTTGAAGTTTGAATTATGACTTTGACAGTAATAATAGTTGTTTAAAAAAAATTTCACGACAGACAACTGACACAACGTACGTATAGGGTTAATCGAAGGTAGATAAACCTAAGGTATGATCATACGGCGAACGAATTGGCCCTCGCACGTCATAACTGCGTCATAGCCATTGTAAACAAACCTACACTTAGAATAGTAGATAATAGTTGTTGCTAAGCTATGACGCTGTGAGAGCCAATTCGTTCGCCGTATGAGCATACCTTTGGGTTAATCGTTAATATTATAGGCTAACCTATGCAGTAACCATAAAAAGTTTTTATATAAAACCTTAGTAACCATAAATATCTGGCGGATAACTGTCTTAGGCCCACTTTTACCATCCTCCTGATAAACTATCTAGAGGATAGTTGCCATGGTTACGGCGGTTTTAAGCGCTCTCATTGGCTAAGAACTGGATTTATCTATCGGATAAATTTATCAGGAGGTGGTAAAAGTGGGCCTTATCGGAATACCCGATAAATTATCCTGCCGATAATCTCACCGACAAAAATATCCGCACATTGTAATACAGTACAAACTAACTTATCGGCTAGATAACGCTATCGGGAAGTTTATCAGTATATTGTACAACCGGCCCTTAGTAAAATTGCCAAAAATTATAATCGAATTATTTTAGATCAAGAAGAAAAAGAAATAAGAAAACCTCTTCACCTTCCATCAGTTTCTTTATTCCCGGCCGAAAATGTTTATGAATCAGCAGCAAAATTATTATTTTTAGCAATAAAATGGGCCAGAACGATACCTTCATTTTTACAAGTATTATAACATCCATCTTTATATCTCAAAAATTCTTTCATATAATTTTTAGTTATCATATCGAGATCAATCTGTTTTATTAGAAGAAAGTTGGAGTGAATTATTCGTTTTAACAGCAGCTCAGTGGGCTTTACCTGTAGATGAAGGTAAATTTTGTCAATCGAAATCTTTCTTTTAATCATTAAAATTGTTTAGCTTTGTTGGTGAGTAATGCAATGGCTCCAACGACGAGACATTCGGCTTTAGAAGAAGACGCGAGAAAGCTCCGAGAAATAATCTCAAGATTGACTCTTTTAAGAGTGGATCATACCGAATACGCTTGTTTGAAAGCTCTCGTTCTTTTTAAAGCGGAATGCCGAGGTCTCTGCGAACCTACTCACGTCGAACTTCTTCAAGACCAAACTCACGTTATGTTACACGAATATTGCGGGCAGAGTAAAAGTTCGCACAAAGGAAGATTTGGAAAATTATTGCTAACTTTACCGGCTGTTCAAGCGGTTGGTAAACAAGGATTGGAAGAGTTACTTTTTAGACAAACCGTTGGGGATGTTGCAATCGATAAATTATTAGGTGATTTAGCTAAGGTTGCTAATAATTAAAATTATGTTTGATTTTTATTGTATTAATGTCGCAGTAATAAAGAAAAATGCGTAAAAATTATAGGTTTTTTTTTATAAAATATTGGATTACTGCAACTTTAAGATTATTATATTTTACAAACTCATCACAACATTATTTAATAGTATTATATGAATACATAATCATTATCATCATCTTCGTTATTCAACATGAAACTTTTGTACACATAGTCAAAAAATTTCTAAATTATCGACTGTTTGTAAGGTGTTAGAGAGGTTAATTAACATTGATCTTTACAAATTAGGTAGTGTGACAAGAAGAGTTCTTGTTGATATCAAGAAACTCTTTAGTTTATTTTATGACATATGCGAAGTTAGCCCCCAATTTTTCTAGCCCCCAATTAGATAGGATTTTACATGTATAGTATTTTGATTATAACAAGAGAACTAGTCAACCGATTTCGATAAACAATGTCTCATTCGAAAGCTTAATCTTTGGCCAATACGAAAGTGTAAATGCCCGATTCGAAATCTCTTTCAAAATTCCGCTAAAACGCCAAAATAATGCGAAGGTACACGAAAACAACACAGAAATGACCTTTTTTAAGTGGTGCTAACTCGTAAACGATGTACCCGATGATCAAGATTTATACGTCATTCGATGCGTCATAGTTTGTTCTATGGAAATCACAAAATGCCCGATTTCAATTGTCTCCCGTTAACCTTGTACAACACAAAAAAAAATAATTAATCAAATAAGTCAATTATCTCCTTTGTTAATTGACCAATTTTAGTCATCAACATCTCGATCGAAAGTATGATCTACAATGAATGCGAAGGCGGAAATGCCCGATTTCAAAATTTACTAATTACCTACCTACGTACGGTTATTTAAATGACTCCAAGTACCTACCGACTGGAAGTCTAGCCCCCAATACGAAAAAAATAATTTTGATTAAATTCGCTATAACTAAAGTTATAAACATTAAATTAACAAGGCGCATAACATTGTATTACATGAATCTGTAAGTGCATTTTTCTCGAAACATCCTTTTTACATCTGGTTAACGGGATTCCTAAAAAACTACTCATTCAATTGACTTGAAAATTGAACTGCACTTTCAAATAGCATCTTTCTATCGTATGACCTACAGAGAAACTGATACGATATACAGGGTGTTCCGGTGACTCGGGGCATAAAATTAACCTCACATACTAGAGCAAAAGTGATGACGATTCGTGAAAAAAAATTATTATAAAAGTCTTCAAATGGCCAAGATATGGGCCATCAAAGTTCAGAAATTTTAACACATTTTTCTAAATATTTTCAATACCATTTATGGTAGAGCGTTGAAATTTGGTACAGGGTAAACAAATATCAAGCAAAATCATTGAACCAATTTTGACTTTGATCGGGCGGCGGCAACCATGCTATACAGGATGTCCCTAAAATTTGTTTGCTCAGAACTTTTTTGTTCGCTCGTAACCCTACATTTA